AATCGTAATTCTTGCCGAATGGCTCTTAGGTGATATGGCCATCATGGGTTACTAATTAGAAGTTTAATATTAAAAATTAAATACTCGACTCACCACACTGGAATATGCCTTGCAACCGGAGCCTTTAAAACAAGCCCAACCCTGAGCATCTGTGTCAAATCTGGCCTAACACCACTGCACTTTATAAGACAGTAACTTGCAATCAATTATATTACTAAGTTATAACCGCAAACTATACACATCTCTTGTAAATATGTTTTTCAAACTGAATTTTCGAAAATATTTAAAGAAAAGAGGAAAGGAGGAACCACATTACCATTGGCAGAAAAAATGTCTCTTTTTATAAATAAATTGAAACAAATAAGATTGAATGAAATAGAGAAATAAATATCCCCTTGGACCTATATACAATCAAAATTAAATCTCCAATTCACCAAAGATAGTACATTACCTGCAGATTATAAAGAAAAGTTTCACAAAATAATCATCACATTACCTGAACATCTTCAAATATTCACCGACGAATTCAAATCAGATACATCTACTGCATCAGCCTTTGTCACTCCTGATATTACCTACAAATATAAATTGCATCATCTTTGTAATGTTTACACAGCAGAGATTAACGCCGTAGCAACGAGTCTCCGATACGTCATGAAGAAGCCAGTTGCAAATGTGGTTGTGGAATCAGATTCTCTAAGTACCCTGATAGCCATGAATAACATGTATCCAGACCTTCCAGAGATAAACTGCATTTAAATCTTATAAAAATGCTTCATGGAGTTGGAACAATGGCACGTTTTATCTGGTCGCCTGGCCATATAGGCATTAAAGGAAACGAAATGAGAGCAGCAAAAGAATCTCTTACTCTTCCAAGCCGCGGTAAAGCTTTTTTGACACCATCTGAACTTACACGATCTCTAAGAGAAGCCATATTCCGAGAATTGCAAAGACGGTGAGACAACAGCTCACTTAGCAAATTAAAGGCAATAAAGAAAGAGGTGCAACCGTAGACCAGCTCCAGACGCAGCAGTCGTAGAGAAGAGGTCGTCCTCATGGGACTGAGGATCGGACATTCTAGACTGACACTCCTTTACCTCATTACAAAAGATCTTATCCCAAGATGTCAAAAGTGTGACTAATTTTTTTTATCCTTTTTTTATTTTTATTTTTTGTACCAACCATCCAAACAGTATAAAGTAGTGTTATTTAGTTGATCGAGCGCTGATGACCTGGATGTTTTGCGCCTAGACATCGAAACAAACAAACAAAAAATTAAATATTATATTTATGATAGTCTTCGACAAACTAAAATTTTATTGAAAAGGTAGATAGAGGATACTGGTGCGGGGTTGTCCGGCAACCTAATAAACCGAAGTTTAAATGACAAAATAATTACGGACTTCGCATCCCGATGCCAGAAGTTCTTTATCTCTGTAATTTAATCCCCCGCTCTCTCCCTAGGCCTAGTATAAACCCTGTATAGCGTAAAAGGCTGGATTTGTTGTCCTCAAAATATTCCGGATAAAATAGAAACTTTTTGATCTTCTTAATAAATTTAAAAAATATCCAGGTATGAAAACCACTAAACTCGTGCCTCCTGTCCCGAAACTTTAAAATTAGAATATCATAAAACAATTACCTAACCTTAATTGCTCTTTATGGATGCGAAACCTGGCCGCTTATGAGTAACCTCTTAAGGTTTTTGAAGATAAAGTATTGCATAGAATATTCGTACCAAAGAAGGATGAGCCAACCGGAGAATTTAGAGGGTTACGCAATGCTGAATTACCTGAACTGCATCCGGTTAATATAATTGAGATGATTACATTGCGGTGGATAAAATGGCATGTAAATTTGTTGGAATTAGTAACGAAACAATCCCTAAAAGGTTAATAAGCGCTGTACCAACTGGTAAACGTTCGAGGGGTAGACTGAAGCGAAGATGCAAAGATTGCGTTAAGGCTGTTCTTGTAGGGTTGGGTTTGGGCGATTACCAGTGGAGGGATTTGTATAGACAGCGATTGGTGGTGTCGGCATTGAACAACCCGGTTCGCTAACTTTTAATAAGTGTGAGAACTACAAACCAAGACTTGTTTACAAACCAAACAATAATGGATCAGTTTAAGTTTTGAGAGGTAGTTTCGTCTTATAGCTTACTATTAAACTGGAAGGATATTTTCCAATGAGACGAGCTGAGCTAATCACATATCAAGTACATTGTTGCTTTAACAGTCGTGATAAAAGTATGAAGCATTACTAATTGTGTTTGTTGAATAGACTATCTTAATAATATTGTATTTTACATACGAATAATCTGGTTTTATATATTTTTAACAATATGCCTTACTTTTCTTTGTTCATTATAATGTTGAATCATGTAAAAACAACTGACAAACCTGGAGAGAACTGCAGATGCCTGGTACCTGTTTCTGGGATCTGGTAGGATTGATAAGAATTTATTATTAAAGTTTTATATATATATATATATATATATATATATATATATATATATATATATATATATATATATATATATGAGTATATATGAGAGAGAGAGAGAAAGAGAAAGAGAGAGAATTAAAAATTGAAGAATAAAATACCATAGATATATAAATTTACCACATGCTTATATATAAAATCACTTTGGTAGGGCCTGAACTAGTCCGAGGACCAGTCAAGGGAAGTGAGGACCCTTATCCCTTTAAGGGACGATGAGACTTATCTATACCACTTGAAATAGTATTCAAAAAGTCTTTGTTGGCCACTATAGGAATATTACTATAGACATAAGGGAATATTATATAAAGAAATGCTACCTGGACCAAGTGGTGCGCCAGCTGATTGAAGTTTAAGTGGATGTATATATAAGTGGGTATATATATAATATATAGTATATATTTATATGAAACCTAATAAAACATTAGTATATATATATATATATATATATATATATATATATGTATATTATATAAGTGGGTTCCTTCATTATATTGGTTAAGTAATCATATAGAGTTCGCCCTCAACCACTCATTCAGCCCCATATATAAGCTCTTTAGGTGGTATTGAACCTTATTTAAACAGGAAGATGCAATAGCTAAAATCAGATTGCTAACTGAGATAAAACCGATGGGAGCACGTATCGATTATCTTATATATATAAGATCATTAGATCTCACGTTCACATCGCATCCATAAAGGCCGTAGGAAGGAAAATTATTTTGTAAATTCTAATTTTAAATTAAAGGAGGCAAGATCTAAGTAGTTTTAACAAAGAAAATAACAAGCGCTTCCCGCCTTCACCCTATCTTAATTACCCTCTTCAATTTGGTTTTTTCTGGTTATCGTGGACCCTAGATAACTAAAATTCTGTACATTTTCAAACATATTCCCTTCTATATCGAAATCATCAACATTGTCAATGTTTTAGCAGCTAACCATATATTTTGTCTTGTACATATTTATCTCGAGTCCTAGTTCTTTACCGGCTTCCATCAACGTTGTTGTATTTAGTTTTTATTGTTTCAACGTCTTCGCTTAACAGTACCAAATCATCAGCACACCCAAGCACGAATATTGTTCCACCCAGGTTCAAACCTTTTTCGGTATGTATCACATCTCTAATGGCATGCCAATACAAATTAAATAGGGCAGGTAAAAGAGAATCAAGTTTCTCTTTAATTCCTAATTTCTTTGGGATTCCCTGCTCGATTAGAATATTATACAGCTTCTGGCAGTCAAAGGAATCATAAGCCTTTTTGAAATCGATATAAAGCTGGTGAACAACATCGTTGTACTCTATTTTTTTCTAATTTGGGAGAGAGAGAAATATAGATACACATATATATAATTTCTTCTTAAAGAACTAACCTGGTAATATTAAACGCATATATTATTGCATAATATTACAACATCAATTAGTGTAGGTAAATGCCATTATTCTAGATAATACTTGCTGAGTTACATAACCGTGGACTTGAATACAAGTAAGATAATTATGTAAGTCGTGTGTTCTACAGTAACACAACCGTAGGGATACATGAAAGGTTAGGGATTTAAATTGTATACAAAGATTAGAAAATATCAAGAGACACAGGCCTAAGTTATTGATAACCTTAAAGTCTAGAAGTAATTCGTGAAGATGGGGTGATATAAGAAATAAATTATAATGTCAGAAATGCGCAGAATTTAGAGCAGATGTTGCTATTTTACTCAATTAAAGAAGGAGAACTTATATGACATGACTCATTTCAAAATATAGAACGCAGTGGAAACGGCACTACTGTATTTCTTGTAGGAAGAGGCAGCCATCTTCTATAACTTTAACATCTGGCTTTCAAAAAAAAGGTTTCCTGGTGTAACTTGAAAACATGAGTCATTAAATTTACACATGTTTTGTCATTAACAATTTCCTTCTACAACTGTACACATATGCTCACGTACGAAAGCACAATCGCACGCACGCACTCACTCACACAATAGATAGGAAATTTGCACGACCGCAATACTTTTCCTTCCTATATATTTCATACATAGGTAAGTGGTAGTAAATAATACTACCATTGAAATGTTATAACTAACAATAATATTGAATCGACGTTCCGTCTTCAGCGTTTCGATCTAGAATCATTATTATAGTATTATAAATGAATTACAGGACTGATAACAGAAACAAACAATGTTAGTGCAATAATAACTTTAGATTGGAACCATAAAGATTAAGGAGAAATCCGAAACATCGGTATAATATTGTATGTCTATGGGATATATATATATATATATCCAAATACCATTAGTAATATTTCTGAATAGTGAATGTGAAACTATATAATCTTATTTAACTATACAATAATATACGTGTGCATTTACGTTCAATTTAAATATTTCATCAAGTTTATACAAATGACTTGACAAATATTACTGAACGATATCCTAATTGCAGTTTATTGTTCTTAAAACAGCACAAGTATAACATTATAACTTTTTGCAAAGAAATTTCCCATTCAAAATTTTAATAATATTTAATGACAACTCATGAAATACATTTATGGTAATTAATTTATGAAATGGAATATACCACGGAGCCGTTGTTAATATTTAATAATCGCCAATAAGGTAATAAGCAAGTGTAACTTAATATCAGTTTAGGAAGACATGCTATCGTTAAAAAAAAAATTAAATAATTTCTAGCAATAATCGGGCATTTTTTCTCCAAAATATTTGCGTTCTTTCTTCTTCGCTCTTCCTCAAAATTATGCTTCAGGAAAAATCACTCCACTCGCCTATTTTTGGAAGACAGGCATACATTCTTTCTTAGGTCACATCTAATTCTTCCTTTTTAACATTGTAAGGAAAAATAATTCATGATAAGATACCATCCCTGTCCATCATTGGATTGTGGATGAAGTCTTAAAGCTTTCTATTTCACATCAATTATATCAGGTTTCAATAAATCCGGGATAGGGGCAGCTGCAGTATCCTTTTTTGGATCAGGGGAACCTACAAAGAAAAATAAAGAGATTTTAGTGGAAGAAGAAAAGCCATTAGATTTATTATTTAAAAATAATTACTATTTTTATCATATATAAAATAAAAATATATGTAATAAATTTGCAGATATGGTGGGCTGGCTAAGGCGACAAAATACCATTACTTTTTTTTATTTATTTAGAAATATAATAATCTGTCACGTGGACAATAATTATAGTGATATATGAACACATTCACACCAACAAGGTAATATAAAGTCAAAAATAAAAATAAATAAAATATATTGCACCTAGCTAAATATTCTAGGTCGATATGCTTTTAAAATATTATTACATCATTTTTGTGATCAATGATTATAATACGAAATCCAATGCTACGCTATTTCAAAATAAAATATATCTATTATTTTTCCGGTAACAGAAACATTATTTCCTTAATAAATTTAAATTAAATAATGATTCTGGATGATATATTAATTTTCAGTTCAGATCTACTAAAAATATTTACTTTTTAGTAGAAAAAGGCCTTAAATGTAATTGTATCAAATGGAATATTGTAATCGATTAAGGAAAGAATATTAATTCCTTCCTTACATAATACATAGAATCTACTTATTTCCATATGGTTTTGCTATTTCTTCACTAAACAAAATTTTCTGCGAATTATTCGCACGGGCCAACTAGTAAATATAATAATATAACTTTTATTATAAGTAAAATAAAACTTATACTATAAGTAAAATATAATGCTAATAAACTAGGTTTAAGCTATAGTTATTTATTTAAACAAATATATATGTTTGATAAGCTTGAAATTTGCCATCTGCAAAGTTTTGCAATAAGCAAATCTGTGAACACTAGGTATATGTAAAAGTTAAGTAAGTAAATATCTTGGCCACTGTCTTAAATGTCGTTGGGGTGGGGTGTACGGGTTAGCGGTGAGAACAAGTGTTTGGATTAATGGGTTTATGTTCGGTAAATCAGTCTGTGGTGGAAGTTTTTATAGTATTATGTTGCAGTATCTGAAATTGTTTGGATGTCCATGTCTTTGTTTAGAATAGAAGTCCAAGTCATTTGTTACATAGAAAGATGCATCTCTATTTTTCTCAAATTCTTTTATTGACATTTTTGAATTTCGAGGATGCTTAAATATTAAATAGACCAAAATATTTGTACAAATTGCTTTGCTAGGACCTATTTTTAAAAGCTGACTGGAAAGATAATAAAAGTAACAAGACAAAGTAATGCCCCGATCATGGGATTTTCTAAATTATTAAACATAGTAAAATATAAGAGCAAACAAACGCCTTTAAGAAATAATAAAGTTAGTATATCAGCCAGGAAAAAAAGTGTAGTAGACTATTCTACTCCTATATGCAATCTTTTTAAAAGATGACATTATTAAGTATGCCAAAATAAATGGACTGTATCTTTGTTAATAATTATCCGATTTTTTTTGTATTTAATTTAGTAATCTTTCTAATTATCGTGGTACAATCAAAATTTCGTGTAAATAGGTGGAAGTATATTGAAGTTATCAAACTTTTTGTGATTTTTGAAAAAAAATCAAAGGGAGGGGATGTCTTAGGTCAAATTTGTAGAAAAAAGTTTTATTTTTCGATCTCAATGAAAATTCGTATTCGAGGGTCTTTCTAGTTTCGAAATACAAATCTCAACTCAGTTTCTATTTTTTTAAAATATTACAACACACTTTATTCCTTCTGTCAATACAAATTGTTTAAATTATACATATTTCTAATTGGTTTTTTCGATATTCTTTTTTGTTTTATAGGTAATCTAGTAATATTTCTAATCATCATAGGTACAATCAAGGAAAAAATTCATACTTTTTGAATTATTTGCAAATTAAGTTTCATTTCCTTCATAACTTTTTTCCAGAAATTTCGAGGGGAAAGGATTATTTTTCGCATGTGAAGGAGAAGAATACCTTCAAAATGAGTGGTCAGTTATTGGATTTGATGAAGAATTGACGAAGTTATGGCGTATCGGCAAAAAAAAACATTTCAGATATAATATATAAGATTTCTATACTTTAATTATTTAAATGTAGTCAATAGCTTGTTGCAAATTACAAGGACGATAGAATTCGGACGGTATTCAAACTTTGGTTCAATTCTTATAGTAACCAATAATAATATCATTGACAGTATTAATACGTGTGAATTAACCGAATAAATAAAAATGAGTATTAATTTACTTTATTATAAAATATATTTTATAAAACTAACACATCTCAAGTCATAGTAGTTTATGAAAATTAATTAAACTGAATAATGTCAACATTTTAAAAACTTATTACACATTAAGAAAAATATTCATCCCGTTTAACGTCCTTTTAGCATGGCCAAATTAACAATTACTCGATCTAATGTAATTTCTTTTGATGTTTCTCTTTGTATATTTCAGAAGGGCGCTCGAGAGCTTTTCCTGCCCCACTGTAGTGCGGCAATCTGTCATGTCTTAAATTAATTACAGCTTAGTTAAACTCCTTTGAAAAGAAGAAACTAACACACCTGCTGTAAAAAGGAACCCAGATCAAGGTTTGATTTTTATCGAACTCCATAAACAGTAAAATTAGCGTTATGTCCGTTTCATGAGTAATTTCATTCAATAGAACTAACTAACAACGAAATACTGTTCACTTGTAATAAGATTCTAGATGGTAGTCATGCTTGTAAGAAGTGTTTGTTACTCTTGATCAGTTCCAAAAAAAAAAAAAAAAAAACGCCAAGTAAGGTGAGTATAGCTTCCTCACAGTTTTCATTAGCTACACAATATTTTTATTACAAGATCTAAATTTTTTCATATGAGAGTAAAATCTCTGGGAGAAGCCGTTTTCGGAAATTCAGTAATCCCTCAACATATAACTGTTCGATATCCGAGAGAGTTCCGCATTTGCAGGTTGCATATTTGATAATTCATGATTAAAACAAAAAAATCCAGTGCATACTGAACATGCATATCAGTCTGTTAGTACAAAAAGTCGTATGTAAAAATTTAGTGTTTTACAGGAGAGCATAAGAACAAAAACATTTAACATGTGAACAAACTCACCCCATGTGTGTTACAATCTGGACAGGTGAAATGGGTCGTGAAAATGGAAGGACATACTCCTAAAAATTACATTTATACCAAAGATTTTCGTGATTAAAACAACGGAAGCCAACAATATAAGTGGAAAATACATCTTTTTTTTTTAAGAAGCAGGCTTGTAAGTATGATTTCAAGTATGCTTTCAAGTGATAATTATATATGTATTGATAATTGATAGTCTGAGTATCTATTGATAATTTTGTTGCTAAATGTTCTGAAGAATGCTGTGTAGAAATATTAATTTGTTTAAAAACTCTATTCACTCTTTTTCGCTTTTACTAATCGACGGTATATCACTCTTCTTATAAATACAAAAAAAATATAAGGTACTGGCCAAAACTCCCGGTTTCGGGGAAGATCGGAAAAATTCTAACTTTTTGACTAGTCAAAAGAAATATTATCAAGTTCAATTTTAGATTTCACAGGTGATGCTAGATAAAATTAAAAAAAAAAATGTAACTAAGGTATTAATTGTACTGTCTGCCACTAGTGGATTTTTGGGGAGGGGAAGGGGGGGCTTCAGCCCAAAGCTTTTTTTTCATATAAATAACGATAATTACTTTATAAAAACAGAAAGATACTAAATACTTATATGAAATGGTGTTTAAGAGATTCTTGAAGTCCTATTAAATGTAATTAAACGAACAATAATACTTCAAGAAATAATTTTTAATATTTTTGACTATCAAACATGGTTATATTTCAACATTTCGAGGGGGCTTCAGCCCGAAAGCCCCCCCCCCCCGTAAATCTGCCTGTGCTGTATGCAATAGTAAACGCATCGAACGATACCATGGGAGTTGACAGCATTAATTAGAATACTTTGGCAATTAAAATCTGTTACAGAAGCATTTGAGATAACACAGCCTGTACCACTACGACCCTTGAAAAGTCTTGGGTGCAGTACTATTAAACGAAGTACTGTTTCAAGGACAACGGTTGTGCAGGTAGGTGATGGGGACGATATCACGTTCAGCCGCCAGTTTTTCCCCCTTAATTATTTATTAATTAAGGGTACCCACTTTGTAGAGATGTGCCGCAGGATGATCTCCCGACCCCGGGGTCGATCCATGGCTAAAGAAGAATTACTAGTCGTCAGCCAGATTCGAACCTAGGATCTTGAGATCTGGAAGTCAGTGCCCATCCACTGAGTTACCCCGCTTCCTAAATTAATACAATCCTCAATAATCGCTATCGGAAGCACTGTCTTTACCATTAACATACTAGCTTTTTTTTTCCATATCTTCAGAAACTCCTGTCCACCGGTACAATTGAATTCCATCCAGCTTCCTTTCTCGGACACAGTTCGGTATCTCGGCTTTCTTTTAGACCGAAGACTAACATGGAACCCACATACTAGACTCAAAAGACAAGTACTCAACCGACGATACGGCCAACTATCCAGACTACTGAGCAGAAAATCTAAACTTTCAATTGAAAACAAATTACTTATTTACAGGACAATCCTGAAATTTATGTGGACATACGGACTTGAACTGTGGGGGACAGCAAAATTTTCTAACATTAAACAGTTGATAAAACCAACAACCCTACACCATGTTACATATGAAACTTCCAGAATTTTAAAACTGTTCAAAATTAATGCAGATATATGTTTACTTAAAATGCACTGGGAACGCTTTTCTGAGGTAAAACTGAAAAGAAGGTTTTTTCCTCAGTGTTTTTTCAAGATAGCGGATAATAGCTTAAGCGGCGATAGAGTGAAAATTAGATTTTTAAAGGTGTCAATACACAGTTCACCTGATACTGTAACTACACATTTCTTGAGATAGCTATACCAGGTTAATAATAAATACAGTGAGAAATAATATCGTGATTAATTAGAAATGGAGAACTCAATCCAATGTAATAAATTTCTTATTGCTTTCGTGCACT